TGGTCTTAAGACCAGTCTCGAGACCAAGACCAACTTCTAGTACCACAACACTGATTAGAGCCTTGAAACTTTGACACAAGAGGTTGGCTTTAACATTCCGACTTCTTATGTGAGACTCTCTTTTTTTGAATGTGTGTAAATTTACAAACTGTGACCATTTTTAGCACCAATGATAGGAAAGTGTCACTCTTAGGTAGAATGTGTAATATAGAAAGAAATGGACAAATATAGTGGAGCCCTTTGGGGAAGTACATAAATATTCAACAGAGAGACTTCGCTGTGAACAGAAGCTGTAGGTATTGCACCATATGAAACCTAAAAGGTGCTTCCTCAAGATGAAAACTCCAAGTAATGATTGCATTCATCAAGTAACAGTTATTTTTCTCGACACCCTTACTGCTGAAAAAAAAAAAAAAAAAAACTCAGTCATTTATAGCACTTGGTGTTATGCACATTTTTAAAATCTATGTTGAAGGAAATGACATCGTACTACACTGTTGGTGCCTCAAGATGGCTAGTTTCCTCTTTGTTTATTTATACACCAATGTGTTCATCGGAAGTGCCCTAAACTTCCCTTTCCTACAAACTACAAAACAAGACTTTGCTATTCTTCTTGCAATAAGTGTTTGAAGTCAAATGCATAAAAGGTAAACTGCTAAAGTTAAGTTTGTTACTGTATTTTTGTGTAGTTGGTGAGAAGGAAGCCGAGATTAGGCAACAAGGGTGCATACCAAAAGAGGGAAGAGGCAGGGGAAGTAAAGAAAGAGTCTCACATTAAAAATAACCAGAGAGAGAAATACAGAAGAAAATGGCTTGCAGGTAAAAGGCAATATATTTATAATTTCTTTCTAGATCAATTTAATGAAGTATTTGTTGACATTTTTAAAATGTTAGCCATCGTGTGCTGGGTAAAATAGAAATTATTTCATGGGGACTGAGTAATACCCATAGATGTGAAATTTACAGCTGTTACCGGGGAGTTTTTGGGTGCTTGAATGAATCCCTGTGGGACTGGTGCAGTCAAATTTCTGAAGATCTGTGTGAATTACATGAACATCCTGTATGAACATCTGTGTTGACAGGTGTGGCTCTTCCTGAGTCAGTTTGATCATCTTTGTATACGCAAGAAAAAATTGTCTTCACCCAGAGAGTGACAGGACTAAATCAAGATGTTTATCCTCACCTGGCTAATTTTACTCTTCATCAGTTCCAGCTCAGGTATAAAGCATATTTCAAAAAAACTCTCTGTTACTAAAAGTAAATGAGCCTAACTCCTTAAATCCACAATGCCTTGTTGAATACTTTAGCCTCTCTTGTCCAGTTCCCTCTCATCATTACAACATAAAACTGAAGGGCAATTTTTAGTAAGATTTGCTAATTTTAACTAGAGCTATTAATGTGACGTGACCAAAAAAGTATGTGGGTGTTGCATTTCTACATTTCTGTTTCAAATATATATGCTGTACACGACTACATGACTACAGAAAACCCAACAACAAACGCTCTAAGGAACATCTGAGTGACAACACAAGAGATTAATAAAGAAGTTTAAAAGACATCGGATAGTCTATTTACTTCGTATTTGCATTATTCAGCAAAATAAATGACTACATTAGTTGTTGCTCTTTGTTTCCTTATTTACAGTATCCCCTTTCCAAAGTATAGCTTTCTATGTTTCAGCCTCTTCAGAAATGAGTGGAAGCCTCACACTGATGATTCCACCGCTGACAGAAGGACAACAAACCAATCTGACTTGCACCGCTAACCCCTGCTCTACCGGCGAAACTCCTGTCGTTGCATGGAAATGTACCAATTCTATGGAGAACACTTCCTTTAACATAGATAATGTGACAGAATCTCAAAAACCAAACTCAACAGTGACACTTAAACCTTCAGTTACACATCATGGCTCCACAGTCACCTGCCCGAATAACATAACAGCGAACGTGACAGAAGTTCTCAATGTAACCTGTGAGTAAAACACGCCTCTTTATTTTACTTTTCTTTTCACTGTTTCTGAAGCTCAGCTAAAACATGTTTTCTCTGAGGATTTCTATCATTTGATTATTCTTGCAAGTAATCTTAGATTTTGAATCCATACGATAGAAATTAGCTGGAGAAATGACTTTCATTTGTTGCAAAGTGAAGTTCTGCACAAAAGCAAATAAACACATATCATTTCAGAACTACCTGCTGATAAATTACCATCTACTTTTCTGATGGCCAAGTGATTTCACTTAATTCATGCAGTTACTGTGTCTGCCAGTAGGAGGAGACAAACTTTCTGCACTTCAGAAAACAACAGATTCCTCTTTTCACAGAATAGTTGATACATTAATGACAAAACATATGAGCAACTTGATTAAATTGATTATTGTTATTATTGCTGTCATAAATAAGCATACAGAAGAAAAAGCCTAAAATGTTCCTTTTTACTTTTTTTGGGTAGCAAATTAAAAATGACTTATTTGCAAGGAGCTTTTCTGCATTTTATATTTTTATGTTTAGCTTTGTTTTAAATCATGTTTTTATTTTCTAGTAATGGCTTTTAAATTTATTATTTTTTCATCTACTTTTCCCCCAGTATTTTAGATTTATTGTACATTCCTGAATAAACTGAATTATTTTTAGTGTTTTCCAGCTTCATTTATTTGTGTAAATTCTAGATTTATTTGTTGAAATTTATATAGTTCTACATTTATTTATTTTTTCACACTTTATGATTTCAATGTTATTTTAAGTTTGTCTCCAATGATTTCCTGTCTTTTATATGTTTTATTCTAATTAAATCCTCTATTTAGTTGACTATTTTTCCTGAAAAGCTCTTTGTCTTGCATTTGACTTCTTAAAAAGTGACTTATGCATAAGATCTAATTCCAGACTGAATTTTGTAAAAGTTCTTCTCTTATTTCAATCTGTTCAATAATCCTCTTGATATCTTGTCTCAGATGTGAAGAAATTGGAAATCAGCGGAGACAAAACCATTAATGAGGGTGACGCCCTGAATCTGACCTGCCGCTTTGATGGTTTTCCTCAAACTCTCCTCATCTGGACCAAACTTGGCTCCAACACAAGCATGACCAATGGCACTGGAGCAGCCACCCTCTTCATGAGCAAAGTAACAGAAAAGGATTCTGGTCAGTACATGTGTACAGCACAGAACCAGAACAGGAATCTGACAGTGGACGTAGCAGTGAGATGTGAGTTTACACATTATTGAATGTTTTCTTCTGGGCAGTATTTTTGCTATGCAAACCATCTGAACAAAATCTTGAAGCAAGACATTAACATTACTATGATGAGTACTCAGCAAAACCTTTCAATATTTCTCTGATATTACATGAATTCATAAGCATCATAACTTATGAACAACTCATGATTATTACCATATTGCTAGCACTTTCTACTTTTGTACTGAGACAGGTTTTGGGGTATCATTATCTCAGTAATGCTAATGTCAGTCATTAGAGACTTCAGACATAACTTGCACTTGAAAAAATTAGGTGTCCATCTCAGCATTGTGTGTGTTTTTTTTTTAAAGGGATTCAATATACGTTGTTTAGTTATTTTGAACTTCACAAAATTTTGTTTTAAAGATGAGAAAAAACTTAAAATCACTGAAGAAACAATGTTAAAAGCAATGATGTCAGTAACGGGTTACGAAGTAACTTCTCACATCTTAAATTTCTGCCACATGTCCTTTCTGCAAAAACTACGTAAAACACAAAGGATGTGTGAGACAGCCGCTCACCCTTCATTTCAGATAAACCACCCAATAATAAGGGAACCAGTTTTATAAAGGATTAAAAACAATCAAATCTATTTTAAAAGAAGACATGAAAAACAAGATTTTGAAAACCTGTATTAGAATAAAAGGAAAATCTCACATCTTCCAAACAAAAAAAAAAAAAAACATTTACCTAATATATGGGGAAAACTTAGTGTACGGTTTAATGTCATTTATCACACTTAATTTGCTTTTGATAACTTTAACATATTGAAATTAGATGTGTAAAATCATCTTATGCAGCATAATTGTTTATATTTTTGTTTTTTTTTTTTAACCATGATTGTGTCTCCCTGCAGTGCGACCTCAGATCCTAGATCAGTCTGACTGTAAGTCTCAGCAGGACGTCCTGACCTGTGTGTGCATCAGTCAAGGCTTCCCTTCACCCACAATTACATGGGAATCATTGCAGAATCCCATCAACTACTCCATCAGCACTGTTGTACTGAACCACACAGTCACAAGCACCGTCTCCATAAACATGAAAGGCGTCTCCAATATTTCTGCTGTTTGCATCAGCAGTAATACAAACGGGAAAACAAGCAGGAATCTTTCTATAACTGAGGTGGAAGGTGAAGGTTAGTGGAAATCTTTAAATGTGCAAATCTTTAAATCTGTGCACGTAGATGTTTTTGTTGTAGTAATTTACTCCTTGTTGCAGGGTACATCACAAACTATCTATGGACTTTCACACAGATGGGTATAATAATTCCCTTTCTGATTGGGGTGTTAGTTTCAGCATCCATTTCCTGCTTGTTGTGGCTGTGCTGCAGGTAAACTTTTAATTTTCTCCTTAGAGATTTTTGCTTATGTATCCAAATATAAGAATGTGTCACTGACTGAGATCACCTATTTTTTTTTTTTAAGTGTTCTACTAGAAAGATTTGTAGATAACAATTTTAATGCTCATTGCTGATGATAGAAGTCTTCTAGAAAATTAATTGAACAGGATAGAACTAAATTAAAAGAAGAAAACTAAATATTTCTTAATCATAGATGTGATTTTAAGTTCCATGCCAATTGTATTGTAATAATTATTGCTGTTTATTTATTTTTCTTTGCAGGGAAAAGCACAAGTCTCATGGAAGTACGTCTGAGACTCTAGAGATGGTAATGACTCAAGAGGTAATTCACATTATTAAGCAACTCCGTCACTGTGAGTTTAGTGACATCTGGTGGTTATGATCAGAAAGTATTAAAGGCCTTGAGTTATATCAGCTCATTTAATATCGCGTGAAATGTTGCATCTTCAGCTTGACTTCTTTTTACGCTTTACATAGACAAACGGTGGTCACACAGTGGATTATGAGCCAATTCCGGCCAGAGGGACAGCTGGAGGATCCAATGGCTCAGAAGCTGGAGCATCAAATATAGAATATTCTGATATTCATTTGTTGATCAAACAAGACGCTGCAAGCCCTTCAGGGAACAAACCAAAGGAAGAAGTCACAGATTATGCTAAGATTAAGCCAAAAAGAGAAAGAAAGATGGAAGAGGGAGAAGGGCGTGAAGAAGAGGAGGAGATGAAACTCGCCTCTGTGCCAGAGGATGAGGAGAGCGAGACTGTGGCAGTGTATTCTAATGTGACAAACCTGAAGGATCAAATGTAAGAATCATTAACTTTAGTAGACTGAAGATGAAAACATCACTGTAGTTGACTGTATTTATGCGTCAGCTGTCTTGAACATGAAACAAAAATTCTAGAGAGAAAAAAGATAGAAATATATTCACAATCCAAACTGATGGATGTTTAAGTTAACAAGAAACCACTGTGCTGAAAGATGGGAAAGTGGCTTCTGGTAAAGCAAGCAGGTGTCAGATGTGTTTTGCATGTGGAGTTCCTCTTAAGGAACAAAGTGAAACTGGGCTAAGTTAGTTAAAAGGTTTTTGAACAGCAGTGCATGTCCCCATAACATTGTTCCTCTTTATTGTATGACTGAAAAAAGCTTCTTCTTTTTTTTCAGTTTGTTTGTCTTAGCTAAACGAAAGGATTGCTTATAATTGCTCAGGTTTAAGCATTGCAGCAGAAATTAAAATTCTGTTGAATAACCCAGCAGAAATGTTTTGTACAAAGAAAATACTTTTTAAGTGCTTTATGTTTTACCTTATTCTACCAGCTATATTACACTGACGGTACACTGCTGCATAGATTGGGAGTCAACACGTTCTTGCAGTTCCTATGTGCAGAGTAGTGTAGCTAGAACTCATTACAATTGAGTGACTGTGTGATACAATGAAACCAATACTTATCCTAACTGTATAAGGGCCTTGTTGCTGTGAAAAAAAAACTTGGCTATTAGACATGCTGGTAATTTTGTAAATAAATACCATGTTTCCTTAAAGTTGTGCTTACCAGTGAGAATTTGTAGTGCACAAGTATCTGCAACCTGCTGAGAGAATGCCTTTGTTTGCACAATAAATCACATTTCATCAGTGCTTTGCATAAATGTTATTGTACATGGCAATGTAAAATTTGCAAGCTTCATTTATTTCATTAGGACTGTTTAATAATAGACAAGCAAGAAGTATTAAACTTATTTGTGACGTGGAAAGAAATTACACAAATAAAATGTCTGAAAACTTTGCTGGCGTCTTCCAATTCTTTCACTCCTACAAGGTGGAGG